GGGCCAGGAGCGGGCCAAGAGGGGGCCGTCAGGGTGAGGTAGGATGGAAGTCTGGCATTGCGAAGGAAGGGGGCCATCCATGCTCCCTAGGATTGTTATGGAAGGTGAGAGATAAGGACTTCTATGACAGGAACGGGGAAAATAGAATGCGCATGTTACTGAGAGGAGTGACTGCATCAAATTCTGAAATTTCCCTAGGGTTCTTAACGCGGACTTGAAGTTCACTTCCATCCCTTACCTGAAATCTGTACAGTTCGCTACTTCGTACGTTGTTATCAATAGTGCCTCCAAAGATGTACATCTCATTGTTGATAACATCTGCGTCATGAAAGAGGCGTCCTGACGGAACCTACCAAGAAAATAGGACAAAACTACAATATTAACGACCGGAATTAGTCTCTGGAGGGCACAATCTTACTCAAAGAGCCTTTTCTGTAAACCTTAGCCCTGATAAAAAAAAGCAACACCAGAATGGAACCACTGAACACCACTAAGTCTTGTCTGACGCATTCCCTCAAATACCAACATGAATGTTAAACTGTGACCTTGAAGTGATGGATAAACCCTCCTCGACCTTCTTGAATGCATGAAACATCAATTTCTCAATCCTTTCGACACAAAGGAGTGTTGTTTTTATGCATGTATGCTTAGAGCAGTTTTCAATTCAGCGTGGAAAGTATTCGGGATTGCATTGGTTTTGCTCAACTTTGCTCTAAACCCAATCACAACTCGGTCACCAGCGTTTTCCCGCGCTTTAGACAATTGGCTATTTTGCACCTTAAGTGCTGACTGGCTCTTTAGTGTATTCTCCTCTCTTCTGATTGGCCGTTGTGATAACTTTGGTTTTGCTTTCACGATACTCAATCGACAAGCGCTCTAAAACATGACCAAACGCCGCAAACACTCATTCCTTATTGCTCCGACTTGTTTAATCTTACCTCACTATCTTGTGCCGGCTGCACAACCTCCCAAGATTTATCGTCAAGAGAGAACCTAACGAAGAAAAAAAAGTTGTACATGAAGGAACTGGCATCCTGTTATACAAACACCTCTTAGGTGAAGTTTTCAATTGAGAGTTTTAAGCACTGCATTGGTTTTGCTTTACTTCGTTCTATGATTAGTCCAGATAACCCACGCTGTCATCCTCTCTACCGATCAGATGTGGAAATATAAAATCAATCGTGACTAGCAAACTAGAACTTTCCCGCGCTTCGGGAAGTGAACTAGTTTTTTTATTTTGAGTTCTTATTGGTCCCTCGTAACAATTTACCTCAATTTTGATCGCCCGTTGCGATTATCAATCGAAACGTGCCCTAATACGCTGTCTGATTGGTTCAGAGAAGTAGCATGGTCCTTTGTATAAGCAGCCATTAGATGAGCTATATCCAGCCACCATAAATTGATAAATAGATTTATTATCATTGCTAACCCTTGAGACTATCTTTAGTGGCATGTCACTTCCGCTATTATACATACCCTTACCTGTACAAATCTGATGGTAGCGTGTTATCTGCCACTCCTCCAAACACGTACAAATAACGGTCAAATGGCACCATGCTATGGCCATAACGTCTCTGAGGAGGAGGGGGTGAACCACGTAACAGATGTGCGGAAGGAATACGAGTCCATCTGGTGAAAGACAGCCATGAAATGCGTCCATGAGCTATGAGCATCAAACCACTTTGCCTCGCCTTCATAGCAATATTTCCATCTCTTCTCGTACAATGACACACTTATTCAATCATTTTCCTTTCAGGTCAAGAGGTGCAAGGTTATCAGGGGAAGATGCTCTTGCAAAAAATTCAGGTAAGGGGCTTCTCACTTGCTTACTAAAATCCTTGCCTTATTTCTCCCCGTAATAAGAATTTTTCTGAGCAAGAAACAATGTTCAAAAAGGTTTTCTAGTAAAAACACACCCATTACCAGACCTTGGTTCCAAATGATATACAAAACCTTCTGAATCAGTGATTTATGGTTCAAATTGATTTTATTCCAAAATTGATCAAAACTGTGATCCTTTCTTCTACACATATCCATAAACCCTACACAACCAAGACACCCTTTTAAAAAATGATAAACTGACACAAAAGAGTAAAGAAATTCCTTAATTGCCAGCAACAAATTCTGATAAAATTAAGTTATGGCTCTCTCCCCATTCACCACTCTTTACATATTCTGCCGCAAAGTTTTGAACTTTTTTCAGTACGAATGTTGTAAACTTTTAAATTTTCCATTAATACCTATGATCCAGGAAGCTGAACTCAAACATGTCATTTGTGATCTTTGCTCCACTTTGACCTGAAAACACAAACATGCTGTCCCTCACCACAGCTAAAGGAAAGTTACAACATGTGGGTGGCCTGTCACCAGACTGCTGCACCTGAAGATTAACGAGGTTCAGAGTATGTTTCATTGTAGCGCTGATAGTTATCCAGGACTTCATTGGTTACAGCTTTTGATTGTCTGAAATATTGCGCCATCATACCCATCAATTCAATGGAAAAGTAAACAACCATAAAAACCAATCACAGAGCCTTCAAGTCTTGCACATTGAGCAGGACACTGATGCAAACAATCATACGTTTTTGTTGATTCCTCAATGGCTCTTTGAGATACTTTCTTCTTTTTCTGGTGGCTGACTGTGGTTGTTTTAATGGTTTATATAACACTAAATCAGAATAGCTTGACAACAGCCAATAGTATTTCTAATCCAAGGAGTTTCATTCCTGGCAAAACTGCCTCCAATTATTCTTCACCTATAGTGAAAAAATATCTACACAGCTGGTGCAGTACACAAACAGATAACATACTTCCTGCCAGACTGGGTTAGGGTCTGTCAAGCAAATGGTCCAAAGATCGTCTAGTCTATGATGGAATAAATTGAAAATAATTTCATCTCAAACCATCTAGCTTTACCCATGTGTGGTACCTTGAGACCTCATACTGAACTTTCATAATCAATTCCAAAATGGGAGATAAGAGACATTCAGTGATATTAACATGACAAGATGAGTACCTTTTGTTGCCATCATAACCAGCAAAGATCCACAAGTTGTTCTGATAGATTGCTGCACCATGTGCAGATCTTGCAGGAGGCAATCTACAAGTAAAAAAAAAAACATTTTCAGATACTTAAGATGAGATGGAGTAAAGTGGGTAACACAGTTGTTTTTTCTGGCTAATGTTTCTGCCCTGAAAATTGAATTTTTGGCTTAAAAACCCCCTACCTCAGATCAAAACCTGAACAGGAAATGTTAACTTATTGATAAAAGTAATACTTCAATATCTATTTGTAAACAGTTCAGTATAAAAATACTTAAAATAAAATAAAAACTATGGGGTATTAACTCCTCAAACTTGTTAGATAGCTCCCCTGAGCCTTTTTTCCAGAAGCAATTTGTTCAAAGTTAAATTTTGAAAATTAAGACCTAAAAATTGTTTCATAAACCAATTATGGTTTTTTGTCCATTTATTTTGGGATAAGAAAAAGCATGACTTAAAAAAGACCATACAAACCTTCCCTCTATGCGCCACTCAGACCACTGCCCAGTATTGAACTTGTATTCAAACAAATCATTCTTGTTTTGAAGGTTAGAGTTTGAGTAAAGGTCACCTGAAAAAAAAAAAAAGACAAACACTGAAAAACTAAAACTGCTAATGATAGAGTACTGTTTGATTGACAGTCAAAATGCCACATCCAGAGTAATCACAAGGTAACTGAAGGTTTTGCCCCATTGCAAGTCTGACCCACCCTCC